CAAAAGCAAAAATTGCTGAAAAATCTCAGTAGGTCTGGCAGTATCTGTGGAAAGAGAGAAGAACAGTGAGACAGACAAAGGAGTGGAGAACGGTTAGCCAAGGTGAATGATTGGCAGTTAATAGGAGCTGTTAGTCACTAATGGGGACTTTGGAGTAAGGATAGTCTGGATCTATGCCTTTCCTGTTTCACCATAAAACAGGTCAATGTTGGTTGAAACCAGAAAGGGAAGATGTTCAAGGAACTTTGTAGCACTTGTCTCACCTGCAAACCTGCCAGGGGGGAATCACCAAATTGTACCCTTTTAAATACTGTTTGTGAAACATGAAATTTACAATTATGACCAGAACGCTGCCACTGAATGGAAGTTGTCATATAAGGCTTAATGGGTGGAAGTGTTTTCTGTGCATATGTGACCTATATCATCACTGATTATTGGAGAACTTGAATAATTTTGAAGCTTTCTTTCTCCTCCTGCCCTTAAAGGAAAGAAAAAAGGACTTGAAAACCGAAAACGAAATATTCATTACATGTCATTTTACAGCCACCAGCTACTTTTTGGAGTATAGGGATGGTATGGAACTACTATAGGGAATAGTTGCAAAATCACTTTTGCAGCAGTAACCTTGAAGACAGAGCTCCTCACTTTGTTACGACTTGGCAAGCTACATGACTGTATTTGGCTTGAGCAGGTCAGAAGATTGTCACATTCTCTAGCACTGTTCTGTATGATGTGGAGCTAGTCCCACTGATTCTAGCTGTAGCTTAGCTGCAAAAATGCTTGCGACTATAACATGAAGGCCCTAGAATAGAATTTTAATGCATCTGGGAATCCACACTTCCCCACAGAGGAAAACAGGGATACCTGTGCACTGGTGTGCCACACCACTATGACCAGTGGCTACAGCAATAGACATCAACATTAAAAATAATCCACATCGGTTGTTTGGAAGCTTCATTTGTGTCACTTCTGGTAAAACCTGTCTCTGCAGGATTGCCCTCTTTAGCTGTTAACAACGTCATATGAAGGCATCCCTTTTGGAATGGATCAGATGGAAAGAAGCTGGATAGTGCTGTGTTGCAATTGGATAAGTGGGTGCAGATCAGCATCTTGGTAAACCAACCTCATCTTATCTGGTTTGTACGGTAAATGTTTGGCAAACTAATCCACTGTTTCATCTTCATCTAACCAATAAATGTGAGGTGCTGCATTTTGGAAAGGCAAATCGGAGCAGAACTTGTATAATTAATGGTAACGTCCTGTTAAGTGCAGGTTCATGTTCGTTGAAAGTAGAGTTGCAGGTAGATAGGATAGTGAAGAAGACATATAGTATGCTTGCCTTAATTGATCAGTGCATTAAGTATAAGAGTTGGGAGGTCATGTTGCGGCTATACAGGACATTGGTTAGATCACTTGGAAAACTGCATGTAATTCTGGTCTCTCTGCTATAGGAAGGATGTAGTGAAACTTGAAAGGGTTGCAAAAAGATTTACAAGCATGTTGCCAGGGTTACACAGTTTGAGCTATAGGAAGAGGCTGAATAGATTGACGCTATTTTCCTTAGAACGTCGGAGGCGGAGGGGTGACCTTTTATAAGAGGGGCACAGATAAGGTGAATAACCAAGGCTTTTTCCCCCAGAGTAATGCAGTCCAAAACTAAAGGGCATAAGTTTAAGATAAGGGGGGAAAGATTTAAAAGGGACCGAAGAAGTCTCTTTTTCACACAGGGTGGTGAATGTATGGAATGAGCTACCAGAAGCTGGTACAATTGCAACATTTTAAAAAGTATATGAATAGGAAGGGTTTAGAGAGAGAGAGGCCAAATGCTGGCAAATGAGACTAGATTAATTTAGGATATCTAGTTAGCATGGACGAGTTGGACCAAAGGGTCTGTTTCCATGCTGAACAGCTCTATGATTCTATGACAGATGCATCGCTAACATAGCACAGCATTAGAAAGCATCAGCAACAGTCTGATTCCTTATCAGATGAAAACATATTGACCTAAACGTTAATTTTTTTTTCTCTTGCACTCTATTTCCATAGATTCCATCTTATCTGAGTATTTCCAGCATTTCGACTTCTGTTTTGAGATTTCTAGTATCTTGCTTTGGTCCCAGTACCAACATCCTTTTGGGAGCATATTAGGCAGGCTGTTAAAATGTTGCATGTAGTGCCTTTAACACTGGCCTGCTTTTGCTATAATTGTTAACATACATGCCAAGTTTGATTAGCTGTACTTTGCTCCATTGTTATTAATAGTTAGTCAACCTGTGCACATTATGACCTCACTAATTGAATGTATTCTTCTAGCTGCAAGGGAACATTCACTGAACTTGCAGTGGTCTGAAGTTTGTAAATGATCTTGACACCTTTTTGAATGTAATCAGTAGTTCTGTCTACATGTTAATTTTCTGCCTAATTATCAATTTTCAGAGGTTGAGCAAGCTAGAACGTGTGTGCTGGAGGTGCCCAGCAACCTAGAATGGCCTTGAGCATGTATTGCCTTTAGAAATGAAAATTTCTGAGATGCACTATACAAAGGTTAATGAGTAATTGCATTTTTTAAAAGGAAAATGTACATTACTAAAGGTGGAGGATGCTGAACTATTCCTTAGTAAGATGATTTGGCTTAGTGATGTGTACTTATCTAATTTATATTTACTGAAAAGCTGATCATTATCGGAATGTGAGGAAGTTGCCAACCTTTGCAAGAAGCTTTTTGGAAATGGAGAAGAGTAGGGAATTAGCTAGTGGATAGGATATTCATGTTTCTCACGTTAATGTGCTAATGATTTTTGAATTAGAATGTTTATCACCATGCAGAAGGAAGGTGGTACACCAGCCAGTCTCCTGGGTTAACCTTTGTAATAAAAACAAACAGTTGGTAAAGAGGTGGCTGTGCTGTCTTTTTGTGCTTTCATGTTCTGGGGATTGCAATCAATTTGGGATCAGGGTGACATAAACAGATTTTCAATCTCCTTGGGTTTGTTCCGGGAAGTGGCCCAGACTCTGCCAAGCTGTGCTAAATTGTTGTCACATTGCTGAGAGTTGTACAAAAACAGAATATTGCAAATGCTTTTCAGTTCTGATGAACAGTAAGAATCCAAAACACAATTCTGTTTTTATTTCCTCAGATTTTGTAGGACTTGCTGTGTATTTCCAACATCTTGCTTTTTTAGAAAATCTGAAGATGATATCTGATCAGTGCATTCCTGATGTTCAATTTTGTTTTTACAGAAGCATAACATTATAGATGTTGGAAATGCTGATTTTTATATTTGTGGCTTTGATTGTAGATTTGCATAGTCACCTTTTAGAATTTAAAAAGTTGCCTTTTACAAATATTGATCATTTCAAAATGCTTTACAGCCAATAAAGGACTTTTGAAGTGGTGCTATTTATTGTTGCAAGTGAAAAAACAGCAAGCCCTCCACAAAAAGCAATATGAGAATTTTTCTTTTTTATGTTGCTGATTTGAGAATGAAACATTGCTACGGATACTGGGATAAAATTCTCTTTTTCTTCAAAATAGTCCATGGCATCTTTAATGTCAATTTTGGGGAACCTTTGGTTATGTGGCTTTATGTCTACATCGAACAGTTTGGGTTCAAGACAAAGTCCATGACTGTCAATAGGCTAGGGCCTTTGTTTTAAAACACCTCTTATTGTATGTTGAGATAAAACACTACAATACATTGTAATCAGAAGTATACTAGGCTCCAATGTTACTGTTACATTTATTGAAATACTGTTCTGTGAGCTGTACGGCCTAATATTCATCCGTCTACTCCACGTTCTGATTTTCTCACTTCCTATCTAATGAACTCTCCCCATATTGTGCTATTTATGCCCAGTGAGGAACATCTGTGTGACATGATCTTAAGGTTTCTCCAGGGTCCTATACCCCTGCACAGCAGAGAAAGTAGTTGGGACTTTAAGTAACATTTTCAACAATGCATTGGGAGTGCTGAAATATCTGAAATGGGAGTTGAGCCTGCTGGCTCTGACTTAAGTTGAATATGTTATGAACTGAGCCACAGCTGTCAATCCTCTGAAAAACATAGAATGGAAATTGGTTCTGACCCAAAATATTTGATATTGTCCTCCTCCATTAGTTTCCTTGTTGATCTAATATTTTGCATCCCAGACAATACACTTGGGTTGTTCCATTTGTAGATTCTAATAAAAATACACACTCTCTGCTTTCACCAGTTACTCTGGGCAGTGTACAAGACCCAGCTAGCTTCAACAGCTTCATCAGTGACCTTCAATCCATCATTTGGCCAGAAATGAATCCATTTGCTAACTGCATAGTGTTTAGTTCAGTTTGTAGTTCCTCAAGTAATGAAGTACTCCCTACTTGTGCAAGAAAATCTGGATGCTATTTAGATTTGATCAATGGCTGATCATCTCCATTGAGACAATCAAACTATCTTGCCATGAAATTGTTATCACTAAATTGCCTGGTACCAATATCCTGAGAAGTTACCTTTTTGATTACATAAATTTTGTGGCTAATAGAGCAGATCAGAGGTTGAATATGCTGTGCCAATTGACTCACCTATGTACTCTTCACATTTTCCTTGTTCACCTACATGGAACAAATCAAGAGTGTGATGTATTGCCATCCACTTTTCTGGATCATGGAGCTATAACAGCATTATGAATTGGAGATCATGAGGACAGAGCCATATATTTCATTTTCAACTCTTAAGTGTAAAAATCCACCCCCACTCAACTCGGTGTGCAATCGTTGCGGTCTATTTTTGGGAAAGTATCTTCAGCAACAGCTTCCAAACCCATGACTTTCACCACCTAAAAGGACAAGGTCACTATTTAATGGCTTCTAGAAATGTGAAATGTGAAATGCACATGTGGATATTGGATGAGCAAAGTTGGTATGGTGACGATTTTTGTCCATACCCTAACCAGTTTCCCTCACGGGGAGGGTCACCGGACCTGAAACGTTAACTCTGATTTTTTTTTTTTCTTCACAGATGCTGCCAGACCTGTTGAACTTTTCCAACAACTTCTCTTTTTGTTCCCAATTTACAGCATCCACTTTTTTTTTGGGTTTTCCCCTCGCAGTCTGGACTTGTCTATAATGACTAACCACTTTTGCGCTATGCCAGGATAATCCTTCAGAACTCGGCTCCTTCGAGGAACGAGTTGGAGAGATCGATGAACAGTTAAAGAAATGCAAATTTTCAACATATAAAAGATACCATGCTGCAAGGGCTATTTTTCTTCGAGTTTAATTCCACGGGGAATTTTTAAAACACAGAACACCTCCCAAAGCATTTCGGTAAATGCTAGCGCACCTGACTTTTGCAAATCTTGCCTCGTACTTTCATTCTGTTAACAAAATAACTTTGTGCGCTTGACAAATTAGAGAAATAAAATTGCAATTGTTGGGGCTTGACTGTAAGAGATGGTGCAAAACCAGTTTCAGCTGAGCATATGTGTAAGAGTATGCAACATTTTAATCTTGGCCCTTATCTGTGGGAAGGAGGCTGAGCTAGTTGTGACCTTTTCTACAGAAAGAAAGCAACGTGGGCATGTTGTAGTGTAGCAGAGTATCTGCATTTGAGACTTTGATCTGTAGTTCGTAAGGGGCAGCTTGAGCTAGCCCTGTGTAGGTTTAAAAGCTTTCTCTGACTTTGACACAATAACCTCAGAGACGCTATTCAAAGCAGCACATGACCTCCTGTAAGTGAGGTGGAGTTAGACAATAAAGCAACTGCCACAATGCAGGAAGTGAGTACAATTATACATTTCCCAACAATAACACACAGCTTTTGTTTAAAGCTGTCTGGACTTCAGGGCCCTTTTTTTAATCAAATCTCCCCTGCCTCTTTCCCGCCCTTCTCTGCCGCCAGCATAACTACTGAACCATTTTTTGCATAGCTGTACATACACGTGTGCATACAATTCACTTCATTGGGTATAAAAGATTTTTTTTACTTAATTTGGAATAAATAAACCTCCCTTGTTTTGATATCATTCACAAATGATCAAACCACTTCATGTCTGGATTTTTACTCTGCTTCTCTCCTTCTCTCCTTCCAGATAAATAAACTTTACCTCTTCACTACTGATTCCTGGCTCCTGACTAGGATTCAATGTGTCCTTTAGTATAACTATAAAATTACCATTTTGTTATTTCTGAGCCTCTTGGATCAGAATTGTTACATTATTGGATCTGACTGTTATGATTGCATTGAATGTATAGGGGCGCAATGATGCAAATGTTCTGCCATCTTGAAAGTTGCTGTGTGTCATTCTTTTTGAAAATAACTCAGCCAATGGTTATGTCCTATTAAATAAATCAAGTCATTCTTCATGTAAAGCACGGCTTTAAAACAAAAAACTCACGTCTCTGATTGCGTTGAGGGCAGTTGAAACTTCAGAAGGCCCAGGACAGGGATCAAAGTGGAGGCTAAGTAGGGAATTAAAATTACTAACAATTGTAAGCTCTGGGGTCGGGCATTGAGACTGAACAGAGGTGTCCTTCACCCCATCATGGAGTTTTCCTTTTGTTATTATTCCTTTTCACTTGCTGAAAACATTACATATTTGAGTTGATGACAGATCATTGACCTGATGTATTCATTCTTTCTCTCCACAGGTTCTCCTGAATCTGAGTATACCCAGCATTTTCTATTTTTATCTCAGATTTCCAGCATTCAATTCACCTGTTTAATACGGTGCTTTTTTGGAAAAATAATTTAAAATGAATAAATTTTCACTGCCATGAGCATCATACTTTTATCACACATCAAAAATGGTTAATCTAATTTGCTGCTTTTAATTGTGTATGCAAACATTGTAACTTAGGTCAATACTTCAAAAGTAATCCTTTGCTTGCAACAGATGTTCTGCAAATACATAAATATTACCTTGTTCTTTTTACAGACATTCTAGCATTAGAAATGTAATTTTAATGGTATTCTGCAACAGCCAAACTACAGTAACTATCCAAAGCATTTAAGTAGTTACACAATATATTTCTTGATCTCAATTGTGTAGGTATTTTGTTTTCTCCACTTCTGATGGTGCATTGTGAAAACGGTTGGAGAGGAATGTGAGCAACTGCAAAGAGTAACTAATGTCAAAACCCTTGAAATTACAGTAAGATTTGTGTGCTTCTCATGTAGAGGTATGAATCATTCAGCAAGAATATTTTTCATGGGTAACCCCTCATTTTAAAATGATCAATAATAATTAAAAATGCATTGTTTTAGACAGGTGACCTTTTGATATCTACAAAGGTACTTTAGAGGAGAGTTGAGCAAAATATTTTTACACAGGACAGAAACTCGAGTGTTGCTTTTTCCAGGAAATAATTCAAAATTAATTTTAAACTGACCATTTGAATACTAATTGATTGAGAATAGGTGGGGAAATTCAGACTGTCGGTTTCGAACTAACTCACTCAAATGCCTACTGTGATTTACATAAATATTTTTGAATATGTTTGTATAGATTTGAATACTAGAGTACATCCGATCCATTACCTTCCTATGATACCACAGTCCGAAAACATGTCTTTGCTGTGAGCTGTTAACATGTCTCTACAAGATAATTTGCAATAATCTAAAACAAGCTAAGTGTAGACCAGACTCTTGTTTGTCACTCCCTTCTTACCTGGTTGAGATTTCCATAGCGGTATTATGAAATATAACTTGTCATTTTTTGTGTTTTTTTTTTTAAAGCTTTTTGTTTGCCTTTCTATAGATTCCTAACACTTCTTTTAATTTGTGCTGTTTAATGAATATTGTACCTTTTTTTTAAATCCCTCCTTGAGTGTGACTATTTGCATATGGCTGTAAAAGGAAGATGCAAACTTGGGCACTTAATTGACTAAGGAAAAGAAAGTAGTGGTGATTGGAAACACTTTGTTAGAGAAGTTTCCGGTGGGAAGTTTTCAGGAATTAGTTTCCATGGGTGGCCACACCACATGGGAAATTTGGAAGTCCCAAGCTGCACTAGCTGCTGTTGGGCAAAGAGAGGGCATTCATTTTGAGGGTTCTCTGAGCCCATTTGTCACCCACCCCTTTTGCACATTCCCTGCCAAAAAAAAGGCAACACGGACGTGCACAAAGGAGTGTAGAAGATTTTCCAAAATTCTAGTTAATCTTCCCTCCAACCAGTACTAGCAAAAGTAGACCTGAAGAAGAAACACAACACGTTTAGCTGTTTCGGTTTCCACAGATGCTGCCAGAACCGAGTTTCTCTCCAGCATTTCTGTTTTTATTTTCAATTTCCAGTATCAGTGTTTTGTTTTTATTAGCAAAATCTAACTAGCTGATCATTTCATCTTATTTGCTAGTTATGAGACTTCTGTTTGCAAACTTCCTCCTATGTTTGATTTAATGAGCAATTACTACCAAAATTTTTTTAAAAATCCTGACCCAGGATGGTTTAATTCCATTAAATTATATCAGTGTCTATATGTGGAACAAACATAAAGGGAGATTTTTTGCATGGACACCTCTTGCCCATGATCAAACACTAAAGTATCCCTTTTCTGGCTTTTTAATATATCCATCTTTCTGCACGAATATTTTTGTACATACGACATACCAAAATGTTGTCAGTGTCTGTGAAACTGTACCCAAAAAGACGACAACTCGCGAGATTGGGGGAAAACAACTTTTAGAAGCAGTTTCATCATGCCATTTGTCTTGCAGAATGCAGAAGTGTGAAATGTGTAGGGGGAAGCTGTGTCACGCAGTATGTTCGGGTGAGGGCTGCATGTAAAGCATAAGATTGTAGGTGGGGAAATGTCCATTACGTAAGCATTTTCACAAAAGCCCAGTGGCCTGTTGCACCTTTGTTTGTTGTCATGAGGAGGTGGAACCCTATAAGTAAAAATAAAGCCATGTGTTGTTATTTGTGCTGGGAAGACCATTGTAACCAAAACCATGCTTTACTTAATGTGTCAAAATTTTCTTTCAATTAGCACAAATGTCATATTCACTAAATTGATTGCATCTCACCACTGAGTTAGATTATGGAATAAAGCTTGTTACATTGAAGAGTTCTATAAAGTTGGAGCAGAATTGTTGATTAGGCATGTGTAAAGGAGGCCCCATTTGTACTTCAAACAAGACAAGGACACAGTGTAATGGTTCTATTTAAAATGAATGTTGACTTTTTCAGTGGCCAACATTCACCCACAGTTCCTGTATTGCTGCATAATGAAAAGATATTCGTATCCCATTCGAAGCACTGATTGTTAAACGTTTTTCATATGCAAGCTTGGGCAATGAGAATGTGTTTGTGTTTGTCTAAGGATCATTAAAACTGATCCCAATCATGCACTACTAGAACATTGACAGAAGCAGGTGTTGCAGTCAGTCATAGAACCTTGTTTAAATCTTGTCTTCTCCAGAGCTAAGGGATGCTTAAGTCAATTTCAATAATGCCACTGCTGCCTCAGCTGAAATCTGTTAATTTGTTACATCACATGATTTCACCTTGTGACCATGCCAGTCAGAAATTTAGTGCATTGATCTTTCAGGATGGACTTTCTGCAGAAGTTACTGAAAAATATTTTTAAAAATCGTCGTGCAAATTATTTAGCAGCACCTGAAATTAATACATCATTTACCATTTTCATAACTTTTTTTTTAAACGAATAAACCAAAGCAAACTTCCCCTCAGACAGCTTTCAATTCCCTGATTGTTGGATGTTATTCAGTTATAATTATGTCATTAATCAGTCATATATTGACTCAGGTTGATAATATGCTGACTTCTCCAAAAACGTGTGATTAACTTGATTTTTAATTGATCCTTTTACAATTAAAAAATAAATAACACTTTTTGGCCTACTTTGTTAGCAACAGACTTCAATCAAACAAAAGTTTTGAGACATTTCAGCAAGTTATTGCATTTTGTGTAATTTGAGCTGTTTTTAGCTTGCTCTTGGGATGCTTTGAACTGTTGCAGATGATTTGCAGTGAGGGAGGAAGCCCCATGCTTTTGACCCACTAACACTGAAGGAACAGTGATCCAGTTCCAAGTCAGAATGGTCTGTGATTTGGATGGGAATTTGTAGATGGTGGTGTTCCCATATGTTAGTTACCCTTGAAAGATGCTAAGACAGCATGTCATGGTGAATTTCTACTAGTGAATGCTGGGGTGGAGGGAGTGAATGTTTGTGGATGTAGTGTTAAATACTTGAGCTGTTGTCGTCTTGGAAATAAGCTTGATGAATATTGTTGGAGCTGTGCTCATGCAGGCAAGTAGAGACTATTCTATCTCACTTGTGACTTGTGTTTTGTAGATGGTGGATAGGTTCTAGGGAAATCAGGAGGTGAGTTATTCTCTTGAGGATTCTTAGTATCTAACCTGTTCTTGTAACTGCAGTATTTATTATGGTTTGCTCAGTTCAGTACCAGTTCAAAGGAAATCCCCAGAATGTTGTTAGTGGGGGGGATTTGGTGATAATACCATTGAGCATCAAGAGTAATGGTTAGATTCTCCCTTGCTGGAGATGGTCATTGGGTGACACTTGTGTAGGTTAAAATGTTACATGCCACTTGTCAGCTCAAACCTGGATATTATCCTGATCTTCCTGCATATTGAAGTAGACCTACTACTGTATGTAAAGAGTTGCGAATGGTGCTGAACATTGGTCAATTGTCGGTAAACAACCCCATTTATGACCTTATGATGAAGGCATGGTCACTAATGAAGCAGCTGAAAGTAGTTGGGCCTAGGACACTACCTTGTTAGAGGCTCTTGTCGTGTAATGGCCTCGGGGCTCAACCCTGGGTGCAAGTCCCACCTGTTCCGGAAGGTTGTAAAACTTCTCCAAACAGGTTGATTTGAAAGTATCTTGCATATTCTATAGTAAGATAGTGTTGGTGTATTTTGCTGCTTTTTACCAATGCTAAGGATAGACCATCGTACTTAACCCTAACTTTAGTTGTGTTTGGGAAGGATGAATGAGACGATGGAATTGGATATTTATGATGATTTGACAGCAGAATCAGGGTCACCATAGAAATCTGGTGGATGGGATGACATAGCAAGGGAGGCATGACAGTGAATAGCATCAGAGGGGTGCTATGAGAGGGAAGGGATGGCGTGGTGGTGGTGGATACAATTGGTTAAGTATACAAATTTGATCACCCATATCTTTCAGGCCTCTGCTAGTTAAATCAGTGACCTTTACAAGATGGTTTATTCTTCTTTTTTTGTGAACAATATTGCTTTATTTTAAACTATAAGTCAAGCTTTGATATGAATCAGTCCTTTTGAAAGTTACACCACAGTTTATTTGACACCTGGTTTATTGTGGTCTAGTATTGGCTTAAGGCAGTAGACATTCGCTCCATCTAACCATGTATCCGCAGTATCCCTGATGCACCCTAAGCTCTGAGGCCTATTTCATAAAATCATATAGTAAGCA